AAAAGAATAATTAATATAAGATTCTAACATTAGTGGTGTAGATAAATAAATTACTTTTACATGTATGTGATGGAAAAAACAACAAAAACAGGGTGGTCATTTACATGTAATATCAATCATAGCAATAAAATATGATCATCTAAATCTATGCCATGTACAATGTATTTATAATTATAAGAGGGTTGTCCTAAAATAGTGTGGCAGGGTGATTGAGTGCACGTCGGAATAATCATATAAGGATTGCCGACCAAGTGGGTTCAAACCCTATCAGGGGCAAGGCGTTGTTTCCTGCAGATTCATTGTTTAGTACTGGTTGGTTCCAGGAACAGATAAGTTGCTTACAAATTGCCTTGGGTTAAAATCCTTTACCTAAAGCCCTGGGTATACCCAAGGCACTCGCTTCAAATCCTATACCTGATCGAGGCCCTGGGTTCAAATCTTATACCAAAGGCACTCGCGTAAAATCCTATACCTGAGGCCCTGGGTTCAAATCCAATACAGAGATGGATATTCTTGTTTTGTTTAAACATTTTAAGAACAACAAAAACTGGTCAATGAAAAAATGAAATTAAGGTACATACCTGGTAAGCATATTTTACTGTTGTTACCGCAATATCTTGTCAAAATATCAACCTATTTTACGAACATAAACATTCCTTTAACATACAGTTACAACATGAATTCTGTGAAGATTTCTATACAGTTATTAATATAGTTATAAATAACACGTTTATCTTGTTCTGAGTCAAATTTTCACAATTTAAAAATTTCAGTAAGTAAAAAATTAGCACATGACATTTTTAGATAATAAAAAATCATTAACATTTAAATATACATTTTTATTATATACATTATAAATGAAACATTGAAAAATATTGATGAAATAAAATGCGTATTTTTATTTTCCATATTTTCACTGTAAAAATTTATTTTTCATGGCAGTTAAACATATTTTCCGTATTTTCACTGGTGTTTTGCTGAAATACTTTTTTTTTAATTCTGCCAGTACACAAATTTCTATAAATAAAGGATTTATTTTTTTCTTTTGTTACCGCCACATATGAAATATTTATTTTCATACCACTCAATAAAAATAAATGCTGTATTTAAAGAAGAAAAAATTGAATATCCGCTATGTATAAAAAGAATAAAACAGTTTCAATGAAATACCTCTGTTTTAGCAATTTCTCCAAATATAGAGGCGAGTTCATTCCCAGTAGTGTTGACAGCCTGGCGTTTGTGAACATTCTCACTGGTAGTGGCGGACTTTAGGTATACAGCTGCATCTTGAAGTATTTTATACACTTCTTGTTGAGATGCCTTCACACATTCGTCCAAAATTTTCTTTTCCTTAAACGATATATGAGCCGCGTCATGACAAAACCAACATAGTGCGTTTGCGACTAGCATGGATCCAGACCAGCCTGCGCATCCGCGCAGTCTGATCAGGATCCACGCTGTTCTCTATCAGTTTCTCTACTTGTTATAGGGTCTGTATGCGAACAGCGTGGATCCCACGGATGCGCAGGCTGGTATGGATCCATGCTGGTCGCAAACGCACTATGTTGGTTTTGTCATGACACGGCTCGTATTATCATTATTATCATGACGTTATATATTCAGGGAGAAAGCTCTTGTGTAAAACAATATATAGTAATTAAGAAAATTAATAAAATATCCCCAACAATTATCTTATGGCTAAATAAAATCACTGTTTGGAGTTCGCATGTGAGGATTTATATTATGAGGGTGTAGTTATTTGTCTGCATTATAATAGTTATGATACTGAATGTGAATATTTCTCATATTTGTTTTTGCATAACCCTATGCATTTTCATCTTTAAGGAAATGCGATTAAGCCAATAAGGTAAAAGTATGTGATTGAGACGTACTAGAAATTTCTAGCATACACAGTTTATTAAGGAACTGTTTTCCGGAGTTTTAATATAGACACACAACCAGAATTAAAACTGATAAATAGAATTTCTTTAAACTTAAGCATAATTATATGTTGTTAGAATGTCTTTAAACTTTTATCTAAATTATGTTGTTACTTTTAGCTCAAGCATGTTGTTACAGAAATATTTTAACCGAAAAATAAATTTGGTGTCACCAGTCTCACTTTTGAGTTATCTGCCCTTTTTACTTTGCATTTATTTCTATATAAAAACTCCTGAAAACATTTTTATAACTTCTTATGAACTTACCCGTTCTCTGATGACGTCCTCTACAATAGTGTGGATATCAGTTTGTTTAGAGCTTTTATTAATGCTACGTTTACTTTTTGGATGTAACAATTGTTTAACTTCGTCCTTTACTTCACCAACAACATTGCCAAATGAGATATCCTGAAAAAAATAGTCACAGATAATATATAGAAGGATATTGAATGGGTGTAAGTTTTATACTGAATTTATTAAACGAATTGAATAAAATTTTATATCATGTGAGTCTCTGGCCAGCATAATATTATTTTATTCAATGAGTTCAATACATTTAGTGATGAACTTTCACGAATTTTAATATTCTATTTATCACATACCAAAAATAAAGACTGTTTGAAGTGATAAACAAAAATTTTCATTGACGCGCCTATAGTATAATGTTAACATTTATCGCGTCTTTACGCTACCTTTATATGACGCAAATGACGTCATGTTAAAATATATGCACGGTCGTGCAATACCATTTTTTACAGAGTCGCAAAATCGGCACGGGTATGTGATAAAAATATATCCAATTATATTTAATTTAATGTGCATTTGAAAGTGCATCGTATTATATATATATATATATATATATATATATATATATATTGCCTGGTAAAAATGAGAAAGCTTCTTTACAGGGACTCCACTAAGTTTTTTTTTTGAAGGACGGCACTTAAAATTAATTATTGAGATTAATGTTCCATTTGATGTAGGTCTACACAGATAATTTGCGCTCAAAATTTCAGAACTTTCACTCACTCGGTTTTTTCAAAATTAGTATTCTTATCATATAAAATATTCCTTTAATGTAGATGTGTATACATGTAAATTTTAATTACTGACTTTTTTTTGATTTTCTTAAAAATTACAAATTACCGAGAAAAAACATTATAGTATTTAAATGTAATCACACCTGTCACCCAGATAATGTAGTTTTACGGAATATATACTGTGGGTAACCGACTGTGACGTAATCAAAGAGCTAAATTTAAATGGAGATGAAGCTATGATGTCAAACACTTAATATGAATTATCCAATCCCGCAAGTTCACATTTTCGTGAGATTTTTCTCGAGACTGATAATGTTTGATGTAACTTTTGAATTTTCTGACGTGTTTGACATGTGTTACGTGATCAAATACGAAAAAGTACTAAAGTACTTAAAAGCATAAAGATTAAGGAGATGTAAAGATTCAAATTTTAGTAACGTTAAACAAGATGGCGGAAATCAGCCAACTTCAAGGGCCAATGAATTTTGTGCAAAGGATTGTCAGTCTAGACGGGAAAATGCTCTATTTTAGAGCTATCTGTATTTTAAGTCTCTGATGTAATTTGGTGATAAAATACATGTACGTGTATGTATATATAATGGAAGACAAGTCATGCTTTGTTTGATTTGGTTTTTAGTAACGCCACACTGACACAGAATAGGTCATATGGAAACATTCCAGCTTTACTGGTGGAGGAAGACCTCAATTGCAATTCTGTGCATTATTTCAGACACCCGAGTAAGTAACAACCGATGTTCTGTTAGCTATCCGGCTAGCTTCCTCACATGAAAGAATCCAAAGTTTCGGTTGGGAACAATTCATTCAATATGTAAATAGTGCACTAGACATGCTAGAGGTTATATAGTTCATTAATAACCAATTTTGGCATTCAGGGTTACAAATTGTCTTATTTTGTGTCTACATGTATATATAATTGAAGACATCATACAAAACAAGAGCCGGTTGAACGCGGTAATGCTCCCCACACAGACTTAAGTATACCTTTTGTAGTTTCAGAGTTATGTTTCGGTCAAGAAAAGAGGACAGACATCCGGTCGAAATGGAAAAGGGGCCCATTTCTTTTGTTATTTTCCTTTGGTCAATAGAGGGCCAATGGCCCCTTACTCTATTGTTACGAAATGAACTCTATTGTTCCTCTATTGTTCTCTTTTGTTCTGTTTACAGTTAGATATGACCCCCTATCCCTATTCGGCCGTGCGAACGGACGGACAAAGCGGCGACTTTATGCTCACTCTTCGGGGAGCATAATAAAAAACAGTGCTAGAGGTTGTCTTTAGTACATATATAGGTTCGATTCCCGGGCTGGTCAACTAAAATTACTAATCAGTCTTTAAATCGATGTTCATTGTATGGGTGCTTAAACACTTGGCAAGGAGAAGCTTCTGGAATTGGGGCATCTTTCTGTATTTGTAATTGCACTATCCTCCAAAAAATAAAATGACTAATACTCTTCTGGAGGACTCGCCCATATGGGCAGCGCATATACACACACTCTTTAGTGCATTAACAAGCAAATTGTGTAAGGTAACACATACAGTTCATTTTAAGAACAACCAGGTAGTAAATTAAATCTAAAAACCAAATGACTTCAAGGTTGTTAGGTTTATCAAACAAAAAAGTGCCCCTAGGGTTCATGTTTTTATCAATAGAGTCTACCATTCAACTGAAATAAACTTTGAAGCTACTATCCCACTCATTGTACTTTTGAGGTTTTTGAAATGGAATGTCCTCAAAAGATAACATTTCACCAGTCAGGTTCGTGCATTGGTATGGAAGTTCATGTAGATGATTAATACATGTACATGTGACTTTCCGAAGAAGAAAAACCTAGAAGTAAAGTTTTTGTTATGTTTATGATGCTGTAATTTTAAAACGTTGCAACGTTTTATTTTGTAAATATTGACTTAAATTATTCACAGTCCCGTTAACTGGATGCAGGTAGATCCGTAAGTTGCAGCTATAAGAACAGTTGTGCGGTTGGTTTTTTATTTTATCCTGCATTTGATTGCTGCACAATATATCATAGGTAATTATGTCTATAAAAAGAGACAAAAAAATAGAAAAAGTTATATATCGATAATCCGGTTTAATACTGACATTTCTATAGAAAGTTGTACGAGAATCAAGATGTCCTACTTGCAATATTCACGTTGTGATAAAGGTGTCTCAAATGAAACATAACAACCATTAGGTCACACTTATCTCGTGAAAATTGTCAATTATACGTTTATGCATATTTAATAACTGTAAACAAATATGTTGATTTTGTGTGGGTTTGTTTTAAACTCTGTTTTAAAACATTGAAGAATATGATGTAATAAAATAGTCATATATTATGTCACTACTACCTTTAAATTTATACAAAATGTTTTTGAATGTTTATTCTTTTATAGTTATGTTAAAGCAAGATCCCTTCAGATTCATAAAGTTATACAGATGATTTTACATTAACATTTTTACATTTTCTATATAGAGAAACTTAAATTAGAATGCTAATTGTCATGAAAATTTTGATAATGTATTTTAAATTAAAATCTTATGAACAAAGAAAACAAAGAATTTAAAGATAATATGGCACTTACATTCCACATGTATTACAAAATAGAGGTAAAAATATATTACAAACAACAAATTGCCCAAACTGCATTAAACCCACAGTAGAAATATGGTAATAAAAACATAAATGCTATGAAGTCAATCATTAATCCCACGAAACATGGAAATTATTACTCGAGTCTTGAATCGTTTTACTTCTCTTAAAATCTTAGTACATTTTTCTCCAAAAAAATTGGCTCATCTAGAGGCATGCAACTTGAAATTCCTGTGCGATAGCATTTAATTACGTATACGTATGCCTTTTCACCATGTTTTAGTTGTTTAAAGGGACTTCACTGAGGTCTTATTGACATGACTGGACTGAAAATATTTTTTCACTTTTAATATTCCATTTGATGTAGGTCTAGACCAATAACTTGTATGCATAATTCCAGATCATTCGTCCACTCTGTTTTTTCTGAATGATCATTCTAATTGTGAAAAATGACTCAAAAATGAAAAGTGTTGCAACGCTTTCCACTCAAATCAGGATAAAATACTATAAAAATACGATTCCCAATATATTTTTGTGTATATTTTTTATTAACTTTTGCATGTTTTTCCTTTTTAAAGAGTCCCAGCTGATCTATGTAAGAAATTCAAATTTTATGTTTTCAGGATTTTTGACCTCAGTGGAGTTTATATAATGATCTACATGTACATTGTTTTTTCTCACAATAATAATCCTTAAATAATCTGTATACACATATAAGAAAACATAGGTATTGCATTGTAAATGTCTTTCTGTTCATTTAAACATACAGCATTAAAAGGCAACGTTTATTCTTAGCACTCTGGGAACAATAGACCCGACCCCTAAAATTGGGAATTTTTATAACGCTTTAGACAAATTGGGAAAAACTGACAACACATTGTATACATCAAACAGGGCAAAGAAAACAAACATTTGGTTAATTCAATTTAAGAAAGATTGATATTTCACTCAAAAGCATATGTTACAATTTTGAATACAAGATTACAATTTTTTCTATCTTAGTGCAGTTAAATGTGACAAAATGACAATACTTTAACTTATTTCAGTTTTTGTTCAGTTTATCTCCTTGAAATAAGGACAAAAACATACATTTTGACACTCGGGGAACATGACCCAATATCAGTCATCAAAATGGGCCATCAAAAAAAAAAACCTTGAAAGTGAAACAACACTATGAACAATTACTTGTCATAAAAAAATCAGAAAGCTAATTTATGTTTAATCTACAAATGGTTTTACCGTTTAAATAGTTTTTTGTTTTGTTTTGGGTTTTACGTCACATCGACACAGTATAGGTCATATCGCGACGTTCGAGGAAGACCTCAGGTGCCCTCCGTGCATTATTTCAGGCACGAACGGGCACCTGAGTAGAACCACCGACGTTCCGTAAGCTAGCTGGATCCGTTTAAATAGTGTACAGATGGTTTAGATATAGTTATATTTATATAACTATATAAATGACATAGTTCATTAAGTTAAAAATTTATTACATAACTGATAGACATCGTAATAAAGTTTTGACCTAATTTTTATAATACAACATAATTTAATATAAACAAATCAATGTTTTTTAAAAATGATAAATCAAACTTACCTGATTGGTATTTTCATAATGTATATGATATATAGTGACACAAACCAAGGCAGCAAAATTAAAGACAGTAAGAAATGCAAGAAAATGTGTTCCAGCCATAGTTTTCGTTTTTGATGCCATGTCAAGTGAAATTATCTTAACCTATTTACATGTTAGAATCACGAATCTCGAGAGGGCCCATACAAAATTTTATAACACACTTATAAATGAAATATTGAGAAATATTGATGACATAAAATGAGTATTTTTATTTTACATATTTTCACTGTAAAATTAATTTTTCCGCTGCAGTGAAACAAATTTTTCATATTTTCACTTTAGAATTATTTTCTTCACTGCAGTGTAACATCTTTTCCGTATTTTCACTGATGTCTTGCAGGACTACTTTCATCTAAATTCTGACAATTCTCAAAAGAGAAGTCTTTTAAATCGTAATGTCAGAAAAAGAAAAACGTAAAATATATATTATAAACAGAAAATTCAAGTTTGTTTTGTAAAGATACAGGATTTACTTTAATTTTGTTGTATAAAATACATCATATTTCAATTATGAAAAATTTATTTTCATACCACTAAATGAAAATAAATCCTGTATTTATTGAAAATTTTGAATATCTTCTGAACACTAGATGCAAAAGTTTTATGAGTGAAATATATTATAGTCTCACATTGAAATAAATCAGTATTAATTTACTTACACTGCCAGGAATCAACATAAGCAAAAGTTTGGTCAGGTAATTGGCGGCAGATGAGAAACTGTATTTTGAAAAATGCAAAAAAAGACATATAATTAAATTATTAAAGGTTTCTTTTCTCGGCACTTATAGGAACATGACCCAACCCAAAGGTTTGGGAATTTTTAGATGTTTTCGACAAATTGAGATTATTGGCAACTTAATATTCACTCAGTTTATGTAAAAAAGCAAGTAGTTTATAACTCGATCGCTCCCATTTATATCTCAGTTATAATTTATTCATTATTGACACTAGGAGTTATTAAGTCTAACACCCCAGTTACACAGAGCCATCGGTGATTGACCGGTAGTTTTTTTAGCCAAATTATGGAGTGGACCGATGACAACGTATTTATCACCGATATCACCTATTGGTCACCTGTTTTCCACCTATCAACTGCTATTGAGGAAAGATAAGTTTCGTCGGTGAAAAATTACCGATTGAGATTTTTAAACACGTTTAAAATTCTCGATCGGTGAAAATATTTCAAAAATTACCGACGGCAACCTATATCACGAGATGTGCAAGCTCTTAATCACCGATATCGCCGATCGGACAAAGATAACCAAATATGAATCACCGGCCATATATGACGGAAAGTGTTTAACCACTGATGACAAGCTATTAAACACCGATTTATCAGCGTTACGCCCGATTTAGCTCCGATTTACAAAGTTTAACGATAAAAAACAAAAGTATTTCAGCATTTGAGTTTGTTTTCTGTTACCGATGGCCGTTTATACAGAAAACCTAAAATAAAATCACGCATGACAACCGATCATAACAGCGATTAAATTAAAAATTAAATGACCGATTGGGGACCGACCGTCTGTGTAACTGGGCCCTTACATAGGAGTTTTATATTCCTATGTAGTACTTATAAACTCATATTAAGGCCTTTTATCTCTTAGATACATGTAGGAGTTATCCTTTTTTTTTATAGAACATCATAATTCAATTGGCTTAATTGATAGGATATATAAGGAAATAAAAATCTTTTAATCCACCACTACAAACAAACGGAACCATCACTTGTGCAAAGAGAACATCTTTTACGACTGATAGACATGTCAAAACGGATACCTCTATGGATAAAAAAACAAGAAGAAACAAATTAAGAACAAGAGCTGTTACTCAAAAGTGACGGATGCCTCCCAAGAAAAGCAGAGTTGTATTATGAAAAGAAAACAAGAAAAGAAACTAATTACTTAATATTGTTATTGTGAAATTAAGTGCCATTCATAGAAAACTTACCACATTAATTGAGCTTGGAGGTAAAGGTCATGAGTCTTTGACGCGACACATCATCGTGATGTGGAAGACATTTATGCAAAGTTATTTTAAAATCCTTTAATGCATGAAAAACTTACAGTCCGAACACAAATGTGTACCTGTGAAAATGAGTACCTTCAAACCCTCAATTATCGTAGCTAGTATGGTGGCTGATTTGGAAGACTTTTGTGCGTCGTGTTGTCGCTAGCGACAGCACGACAAAGCGCCAAACGGCGCGTTGTTGGACTTTCGTCTTTTCGTCCTGTCACTAACGATGCACGCCAAACAGCGGGTTTTCTTGCAGCGTGTTGTTGCGTTGTCACATTATTGCTACGCTCAAATCGAAGGATTTGCTTATAAGCCAAGCGACAGGGCGACATCGCGACGCACGACAACCGTTTGGCGTGCTCCTCTAAAGACAGGACGACAAGACGAAAAAGCGATAATGATATAGGTTGTATTGTCGCTATCGACAACGCAACGCGCAAAGTGTACCAAATCAGCCACCATAAGCTAGAGCCATAGAACTTATTACATGTAATTAGAATATCACCTTTCAAGATTGTTTCAGAGAGTTTAAATACGTGTATATTTTGAAGTCTGTGATAATTTTTTGCATATTGCTATGCTCATTATCAGTATTATGACGTTCTACCTTTTGATGTTCTACCAACGTCGTTACAAAACTTTTGATACATCCCTTTTGTCTGTTGTTCAAATGTTAAAAATGAACTAAAACAAAAGTGACCTCATTCACAACTATATCAAATGTATTATCAATGAAATTAAAGAACCATACTACTAGGTGTTCTTATCAGATGATCTAAATATAAAAGCTTTATCTACATGACATGGGCATTGGAGTATTTTAAGGCATGTTAAGGCGAATTGTGGCAAAGACAGTGTACTTAAATATAGGAGTTGATAAATACATTAATACTATATATAATACACATAATTATGGAACTATATTTATTTATAAGCATATTATCATGAAAATAGAATCTTACTTCATTATAATAAAAAGTATCATAGCATATAAATAAGCATTTGTTTATGACATCATTTAAATATAATTTAATCATTATGATGCAAAACTGACCAACACGAACGACCAACTAACCAAATCAAAGCACAGAAGGCGCTGAATTTGTTGGGGTCTCAGAATGACAGAAAGGTGAATGCTGTGAGATTATAAACCACTTTGTTTTTGTATAGTGCCACCAATGCTTTCCAGCGTTTTAATTGTAGTAAAATGGCTATAAGACTAATTGCAACACTGATACTCAATCCAATGTTTATTTGTCTTAAACAATTTGAAAAAAATGAGTTGCCTTAACTAGAATTTGAACTCCAGACCTCTCGCTTCCTAAGCGAGCGCGCAAACCCCTCGGCCACGGTGAATCTAAATGAAAATGGCCTGAAGAAAACCATATTCGTCTAAATTAGGGTTTGTAACGACGCTTACTGATGTTTAACACTTGTACACATGCTGCAATGCAGCAATTGAGAAGCTCCGCGCAAAAAATGGGCTTATTACAGATACCTTACCAAATTATTCCTACACACAGGTCATGTTATATTCAGTACTATGGTAGATTTTTTCCGAATGTTTTGTTAACCATTTTTTGCATAATTATACTTATCTAATACACTGTCCATAATATATTTATTTGAGTTTGATATACACAAAGACCTTACCCTAGATAATATATCAAAGACCTTACCCTAGATAATATTGTATCTTAATATGATAGATATTAATTAAAGTTATAACCAGTTAAAGCAATAAAAAGAGCAGAAAATTCAATAATTTGATATTCAAAGTTATATCAAAGTTAAGGTTATTTTTCAGTGAAGGCAAGGTCTGTTTTACTAACTTGAAATTCTTTCATGAAATATTGTTTTGTTCAACTTTGAAGACAATCAATTCAAAAATGCGAAGGTTAAGGTTATAAAATCATTCTGAACAATAAATTCATAATTTTCTACTCCACAATGTTTCAACCTCCAAAGTTGCAAGGGATTAAACCCCTCTTTATCAAGGAGAATGTAGCTAAAGTTATAGCCACTGATTGCAAAAATTAAGCAAAATTTAGTCCCTTGACCTTAAAGATTTATAATTGAAGGTCACGTTTAGTTTCGTCTGCTTGAAGGTCCTGAAACAAGTGTTATGATCAAGAATGAAAGCAATACACCCAATACACCAAGAACTTGAAAAGCTTTGATCAACGGTAGAGCATACGGACGGCAACAGCAAAGGGAACGCCGACTTAACTGACATAATTGAGCCGCGTCACGACAAAACCAACATAATGGGTTTGCGACCAGCATGAATCCAGACCAGCCTGCGCATCCGCGCAGTCTGATCAGGATCCATGCTGTTCGCTATCAGTTTCTGTACTTGTTATAGGGTTTGCAAGCGAACAGCATGGATCCTGATCAGACAGCGCGGATGCGCAGGCTGGTCTGGATCCATGCTGGTTGCAAACCCATTATGTTGGTTTTGTCGCGACACGGCTCATATTTTTTTTGTGTTTTTCCATGCCGGTGTTCATGGTGTTCGTGCAATTATCTCTACTATTTAATATTGTCGTTTTTATATTTTATAGTTTAACTCTGTAAGTTTGTTTTATAATTATCTGGAAAGTCACACAAAACTTGATGATTAATTGCCATGTAACACCGAGCACATCTTGTTTTTATAAGCAGTTGAAAAATAAAAACCTTTTTTTTTGATATACAAGCAAAAATATAAATACAACTATGTGATAAGAGACAATTTAATAATTGTGAACAAATGTTGAATTTTCCAAATTTATCAAATGAATAAACCTACAGTCAAATATATACATCAGCATAACATTTTAATATCATAATGACTTAAACACACAAGAAGCTAATAGTAATTTAAAATACGGTGATTTTTTAAACGTTGTAATGACAATGAAAAAGCAATATTGTCTAAACTTTTATATCCAAATGTAAATCAAATGTTATAACTATAATTATCAATTGAGCCGTGTCATGACAAAACCAACATAATGGGTTTGCGACCAGCATGGATCCAGACCAGCCTGCGCATCCGCGCAGTCTGATCAGGATCCATGCTGTTCCCTTACAAACTCTATAACAAGTAGAGAAACTGATAGCGAACCGCATGGATCCTGATCAGACTGCGCAGATGCGCAGGCTGGTCTGGATCCATGCTGGTTGCAAACCCATTATGTTGGTTTTGTCGTGACACAGCTCAATTATTCTGGTAGCTATATTGCATGGCTCTTATGCATCAGAATCAGGGCTTAAATTATTGCAAGTTTGAGAGTCATTTCCTCCTTGGTTTTGGCTTGTGACTTCTAGTTTCAAATATTTTTCCTTCTTTTCTTGTATCATGTGACTTCCAATGTCAGTGGCTTTGCGGTTTCTGACTTCTAAATTTTGAAACTTAAAAGAAGCTCTGTCAAAAGATGCCAACATTTTCAAAGATAAAAACGTGTTTCTTAGTCCGATTATACATTTTCTAATAAGATGATGCTGTCATTGTAAATATAACATGATGTTGCCATTGTATTTATAACATGATGTCACCATTGTACTTAAAACATGATGTCGCCATTTTACTTATAACATGATGCTAGCATTGTACTAATAACATTATGTTGCCATTGTACTTAAAACATTATGTCGCCATTTTACTTATAACATGATGCTAGCATTGTACTAATAACATGATGCTGGCATTGTTCTTATAACATGATGTTGCCATTGTATTTATATAACATGGTGTCTCCATTGTTCCAATAACATAATATCGCCCATGTTCTTAAAACATGATGTTGTCATTGTTCTTATGACATGCGGTTGCCATTATACTTATAACATGATTTCGCCATTGTACTTATAAGATTATGTTACCATTGTACTTAAAACATCATGTTGCAATTGTACTTAAAACATGATATCGCCATTGTACTTAAAACATGATGTTGCCATTGTTCTTATAACATGATGTTGCCATCATACTTATTTTATGATGTTGCCATTGTACTTATAACATGATGTTGCCATTGTACTTACAGCAAGATGTTGTCATTGTACTTAAAACATGTTGTTGCCATTGTACTTATAACATGATGTGGCCATTGTATTTATATAACATGATGCCTCCATTGTTCTAATAACATAATATCGCCCATGTACTTAAAACATGATGTTGCAATTGTACTTATAACACTTTATCGTCATTGTACTTATAAGATGATGTTGTCATGGTACTTATAACACGATGTTGCAATTGTTCTAATACAAACATGATGTTGTCATTGTACTTAAAACATAATGTTGCCATTGTACTTATAACATGATGTCATTGTTCTTATAACATGTTGCCATTGTACTTAAAACATGATGTTGTCATTGTACTTATAACATAATGTTGCGATTGCACTTATTACATGATGTTGCCATTGTATTTATAACATGATGTTGCCATTGTACTTATAACATAATGTTGCCATTGTACTTATTACATAATGTTGCCATTGTATTTATAACATGATGTTGCCATTGTACTTATAACATAAAGTTGCCATTGTACTTATTACATGATGTTGCTATTGCACCTATAACATGATGTTGTCATTGTTCTTAAAATATAATGTTGCCATTGTTCTTATAACATGATGTTGTCATTGTACTTAAAACATGATGTTGCCATTGTACTTATAACATGATGTCATTGTTCTTATAACATGTTGCCATTGTACTTAAAACATGATGTCAATTTTCTTAAAACACGATTATAACATAATGTTGCCATTGTACTTATTACATAATGTTGCCATTGTATTTATAACATGATGTTGCCATTGTACTTATAACATAATGTTGCCATTGTACTTATTACATGATGTTGCTATTGCACCTATAACATGATGTTGTCATTGTACTTATTACATGATGTTGCTATTGCACCTATAACATGATGTTGCCATTGTACTTAAAATATAATGTTGCCATTGTTCTTATAACATGATGTTGCCATTGTACTTATAACATGATGTTGTCATTGTACTTAAAACATGATGTTGCCATTGTATTTAAAACAAGATGTTGTCATAACAAAAAAGTTTATGTGTTTTTACCAAGCAAGATTAAAGTATTCCTATGTAGACCAGTCTTCTTGTGACTGTGAAGACAATTCTTTGTTTTAAACGTCCTATCACAAATATTGCACAAGTAAAGCCTTGATACAGCATGCTTATGTTTCTTGTGTCTACACAAATTTGAGCTGCAATTGAACGCCGTGTTACAGTATTCACAAACATAAGGTTTCTCTCCAGTATGTATAAACATGTGCCTACGTAAATCAGCTGGAGCATGGAATTCTTTTCCACAAACATAACACTTGTGCAAACATTCCGAATGAATTCTTAAATGCTTTTGTAAGTCTCTTTTCATGAATGATTTGCCACAAACATTACATTTTGCATCTTTTTTCGCACCATGATATCTTATATGTTGTTTAAGATTACCATGGGTCATAAAAGCTTTGCCGCACAAGTCACACTTAAATGTCTTTTCCCTTGTTGTATCGTGAGTCCGTAGATGCTTCTTTAACACTTCGTAATTTGCAAATGAATTTTCACAAATAGTGCAATCAAAAAGTTTTGATAACACATGGGATGATATATGTTTTCTAACATCTTGAAACGTTTTGAACCTTTTCCCGCACATATCACACATATAATCTTTTTCTGATATGTGACGCTTCATATGTTGATTCAAGGAGGCATCGCAGGAAAATGTTTTATTACACAGTTTACAAACTTTTCTTTCGGCTTCTTGGTGAACTGAATTTCTATGTCTTTGTAAATGACTCCCGGACAGGAAGGCTTGCAGACAAATATCACATTTATGTTCCCTTGGTTTATAGTGGGACTTATAATGCCCTGTTAGTGAATTTATTTTCTTAAACCTTTTGTGACAAAGAGTGCAAAAATATTTGTCTTCATGGTCATGCAATTTCATATGCTGTATGAATTCGGCTTTATCAGTGTATGACTTTTTACAGTAGTCACAATCAAGTGGGATAACTCCTGTATGCTTAATCCTATGAGCTTTTAACCTACATGGTATAGCATAAGAACATGGGCAAAATTCACATTTATATGGTCGAGAGCTTTTATCCAAGTGAGTTGGAATATGGGCTTTAAGTTGACTATTATATCTGAAACTTTTGCCACATGTTCCACAAATGAAATTATTTTCCTGTCTATTAACTAGGCGATCTGATTTTAGGCTCTTTTCTTTGTCATTCATTTTCACATTTTTTTCTATGTCATCCATATTCAAACTTTTCTCTTTGTCATCCATAATCACATTCTTTTCTATGACATCTTTTTTCACATTCGCTTCTAGGTCATCGATATTCAAACCCTTTTCTATGTCACTTATTTCTAGGTTATCATTTTCAGCAGTTTTTTCTGTGTCATTCATTTTAACATTCTTTTCTATGTCATCCATTTTAACATTCTTTTCTATGTCATTCATATCTAAACTCTTTTTTATGTTATCCAGTTCCATAGTTTTTTCTGTTTCAACTATTTTCGCAGTCTCTATTATGTCATTCATTTTCACAGTCTTTTCTATGTCATCCAAATTCACAGTCTCTAATTTGTCATCCATTTTCACAGTCTTTTCTGTGTCATTCATTTTCACTTTCTCTCCTATTACATCTATTTTCAAAGTTTTTTCTATGTCATCTAATTTCACAGTCTTTCCTAAATTATCCTTATTCACAGTCTTTTCTATGTCATTCATTTTTACATTCTTTTCTATAGCATCCGCTTCTATATTCTCATCTATGTTTTCCATATCCACAGTCATTTCTATGCCATTCATTTTCATAGAATCTTTTTCTATGTTATCAACATTCTCTTCTAGGCCAACCATTGTAACAGTTTTCTTTTTAGTGTCATCTATTTTCACATTTACTCCTCTGTCATCCATGTTTACAGTCTTTTCTATCTCATCCATTTTAACAATCTCCTCTAGGTCATTGATTTTTTCATTCTTTTCAAGGTCATTCATTTTCAGAGTATGTTTTATTTTGCTATCTATTTCCACAGTATGTTTTTCTATGTCATCCATTTTCACATTCTCTTCTAGGACATCCACTTGCACAGTCCTTTCTAGGTCTTCCATTTTCGCAGGCCCTTCTGTGTCTTCTTGTGTCCGTACTCATCTAATTATATGTTTTATTGTTTCGTACAGTGAAGGTCTATGCTCATATATTCCCAATCAGGTTGCAAAGCAGTCCTTTCTGATATATTAATTCTCCGAAGAAATGAAACTCACGTTACCCGTTTAAGCAGACCACGGGGTATATATATATATACTTTTTCCTAAAAAAAAACTATTATATACTAGAACGTGTGTTATGGATTTTTAGAAATGCTGCCAATATGTCATTCGTTTAATCCTTACAGTAATATTTCTGTAACAGTGAATTCCTTGGAATTATTCATGTATGTGTCACTGTCAGTTTCCTCCCTTGATTCCATATCTTTCTGAGTCTGACCTGATTTGGCGCAGTTGTCTTTCTTTAAGCAATATCTGAAATAGATAAACACAATGATCCTGAATGTGATATTTTAATTGTATTTTATCTGGCTAGCAATAAACAATAAGAATAAATCAACAACATTCGAAAGGAGATCGGTCCAAAGGTTATTGTATTTGACTTAGGTACCTTAGGTTCTAAACAACCAAATCTTATATTGGGTTAGTAACAATTGAGGTTAACAAATCAAAGTGGGCAACTCCGTTTATTCAACCTTGTAAAAGCTGTGAGTGGGTATGGTCGATCTCCCTATTATATTACGAGAAAATATGCAGAGGCTACTAGGTTCATACATAAAATGTATCAATATATGTGTTTTTTTCGTTGGGCTATCGTTTGCTATCCTTGTAGATCATTTTCTCTCTCTACTTAATTATGGATGACCCTTTTAGAATTCTTAACTATACTCTTGTTTCCTATGACAGGGCAAATTACAATTAATCTGAAGTTTTGTTGGAATCAGTCCACTATGGTGGCTTCGTTCCGCGACCCCGCCGTTTTATTTCCGCGCCCTCACAGGGCGGGGTTTTACTTCGCCCCGCGCCCTCGCTAATAAACGTATTTTCGCTCCGCGCCTCGCCATTTTAACTTATTAATGTTAGACTTTTCGCTTGGCGGGGTCGTGGGGCAAAAACACGAATGGCACAAATCAGCCGCCATAAAAAAGGGACATTTTCTGGCTGAGTTCATTTCAAATAACTGGTAAATGCCAAATTTGATCCAGTTTTGATGTTAATAAGTATTTTTGAGTGTTTTTTCTACATGACAGAATTCACATGGTTCTAGCCGATTACTGAAAACCATCATACATATACTGATATTTACTGAACTGAAATAGTTGAATGATACTGTAAGCACAAGTGATTTTGATTTGATTAGAGTGTTAGTGAAATTGCCACAAGGTTTAAAGTTTATATAGAACATATAGTGAAAATAATTGTAGTCTGAGGCCTGTATAAACAATAATTATTGGAGAGGTCATCACAGTGTTGAGAATGATTGCTGGTGATTTCCATTTTTGTGTATCAAAATGAATCAAAGTGAAGCTAATGCATCTCATTTAAAGCCTTTCATCATCACAACCAGTCCACAAAAATTGTTATGCGCATGCTCCGCTTAAAATACGACTTAACTTAAACGAAAAATAAGCATCGAGGTGAACAAATCGGTATAAGGAAAAATCGGAAAATATCGTTTAAGTTACTAAACACTACGAGCAATGGTTTGAAATCCTTTAAACTGTATAAATCGATTATTGTTTTCTGAATAGCGTTTTACTATTTTGTATTCCAACAAATAGCAACAGTAAACATTTATAAATCTGGGACTTAAAATTGTTTAATATACTTTATGCCCGTTTTGGAAAATCTCCGATGCCTTTTATGCAAAAATATCTCCAAATATTTTCGAAATAAACAAATCTTCAACTGCTGCAAAAACAAAAACCTCTCGCATGCTTGTTTTTAAAGACACAAACGTGTACTGTTATGATTCTGCATGAGAAAGTACCAATCGCAACTTTTCGGCCCTTTCCGTCAGTCTTCGGATAAGGAGTCTATCATAGATAGCAGCCGAGGACATTCCGATTAGTAAAAGTAGTGAGATAAACTGGGCTGGTTTCCGTTCTTAGATTTTTTTTTACACTACAGACATTTGATGGATTTCTGTAGTTTCCAGAGCCAGCTTCTACTTGCACTTCCGACAGCATTTTTCATGCAGGCGCGTAGTGTTTTTTTTGTTTTTTTTTCATACAAGTTATCCGAACGGAAAAACTTTAAGAATATGCATTCAATTATCATTATCTAGAATAGAAATCCTAAAAAATTGTGCGCATTTTATGAGAGAAAAAATGGCATTTTTAAAAAAGTCTATTTACTTACAAGGAATCTGACCTTTCAGTACAAAAGACTAATTGCTCTACAATTAAATCTTTTCAAATTGCGTAAGTCATGTTCATGATGTTGTAGTCTAATACAAAAGCGCTTTATTATATTATGTCTGTAATTTAAAGGCCCATTATGCCTAAGAAATTATTTTTATTTTAATTTCTCACAAGCTTTTTTTACATTTCTCACAAGCTTTTTTTAAATTTGAAGTATTTTTTTGGTAATATACGTGGATTGCAAGTACAGTTTATTATGTGTAAATTATTTTTCCTTGTTCACTTCACAATATTTTATTTTAAAATACATGTACATGTTGAAAAAAACTTCATGAGAATTAAACCTCCAGATGAATCAAAATATTTCAATAAAATCAAACTTGAGAAAATGTAAAAATAAAAAAAAAGTTTCAAGATTCAAGTGATATTTTACATATTATTTGCGATTAATGACTGATTTTTCAGTATTTACAATATTTCTACTGCGTTACTAACACAGTAAAGGCTATATATTCATATTTTGACCACTTTTACGTGTTTTGTAAGTGTCATTGATAATGCCTTTTAGATACTTCACAATATTACACATTCAAAAACTATTTTCAAAGTTTTCATAAAAATTAGCATGAATCTAGAGGCATGCTGCTTTAAAGGCATGAATCTGGAGAAATGCTGCTTTAATGCACTGGTACACCTAGAGACTATCAACACAAAAATTGCTGCTGTAAATACTACTATATGCATAGAGAATGAAGGAATACACCACATCTTGACCGCATTAATTACTGATAAGCTCTTGAAAGTATCAGATAACATTACAAATCTGTTTCCTGGTTGCGGTTATCCATTGATAATTTTCATTTTGCATTAATAAATAATGTAAATTTAGCTACTGTTATGTCTTTAAATTGATATCAAGTGTTCAAAAGCAATAAACAAAAACAAAAACTTGATTTTTTACTGTAAAACTTATAAAACTTGACGATAGGCTTTCTCTTTTTACTCTCAAGGTTACCTTTGTTTCTACAAATGTACATGAAAGCATTTGCTTGTTAATCTGTTCGGCCCTTTCCGTCACTGTTCGGATAAGGATTATTATAGATAATAGCCGGGGAATTCCGATTGGTAAATCATAACGATAACGTAACTATTTTACGAGCATTTATATATATCCAACACATCTGCAACATAATTAACATAATCCATTTAAAGTACAGTATACTACTTCACGGTATATAAACAATTCTACTTCCTGTTATCGCAATTTAAGGTATATAAACTCCCAAGTAGTGTACATAAATCGGAAGTAACATGTGCTTTTGCTCGCAAGACATGGTACACATTGTTCAAATAATATAGGCTCACAAGACAGGATACAGTGATTGTGTTTATATACTGTATACTGTGTACATGCATGTATTTCAAGTACACACATAAAGGTAAAAGCTGTTTATAGAAGTCTATATAAATTTCACAGGAACTTGAAATTCTATCAATATTAATGATAATATCCAAAATATACCCCCTATACAGTATAAATATTTATACTGTATAGGGTATATTTTGGATATTATCATTAATAATGATAGAATTTCAAGTTCGTGTGATAAATTTACCACTGCTATACAAGTTAATACACACACACACACACTTAGCATTGGATTATAGCATTTAATAACACACGCGTGTAACATTTAACTATATGATTAAGCTAGACTTACCTGTAAGGTGAAGGTTAATCATGATTTCATCTACATCCCGTTTTCCATCCCACATGTATATTTCACCGACTCATCACTACCGTCAGACAACTGTCTGCGCATGCGCAATACGTAAAGTGGGTCTGACACCATGTGGAAGCTGGGAAATGTGTCAGTTATGTAATCCTGTCTGAACTTCCTAGAATAAACTTGGAAGTGTAAATAGCATCCGTTGTAACACATGCCTGCCGGACACTCACTATCTATGATATCGGTTTACTATAAATATCTGGTGAAAGGGTGATACCTCGGACGCGTTATAGTCACAATAAAATTACATGAAAAATGCAGAATTGGGTACAGTACATATATAATAGCCGTTGAACGTATGACTTCTTCTTTTTATAAGTACATGAATAATATAATATAATAATATTATTATTATTATTATTATTCTTATTACACAGCAGGGTCTTTCAAATAGTTTCTATTTGAAAGACCCTGTACACAGTAACCCTTTTCTGATATTTTTGCGGGGAATAAAAAAGGTTTCGGACATCGTCTGTTTCCAACGGTATATATTCCGTACATGCTACATAATCTACATAATATAGCATGAACGGGGTATCTTGTCAGTTTCCCTCGGAGCGTGCTCGTCGCTGAGAAGCACAGGGCATCGGCAGAAGATTTGAAGTCTTGGGATTGCGCAAATAGATCAGAACTTGTACCGCGGACCAGCTACCGGTGTCCGGACTAATGCCGACGATATGTAGACAGAGGCGACGAGTGTGGTGTGCTAGGGTCCGTGAGACCCTAGCACAAATAGACGGCCTGAACGCCTTTGCTAGCACCAACAGCCCTTTTAAGGGCTACCCATTCATTGTTTGTTGGGTTACTGTACGTTTAGATTCTTATTGACCACCGTACCTCTGGCTAATATTCCGTGGATATTGCACGGAGGTGAATTATCCACTTAGTGCCATCCCCTATCAAATCTCCAAGAATATTTTGGACTGGTGAGGGGCTGAAAATGGCCCCAGGTCAACCTTATCGTGTAACCAACGCTGAAAAACCTTTGACTCTTATCTCAATCCAATGAGAAGTTTAAGCTCTTTAAAATCAATTTTGATCGAAAAAATCAACGCAAAATAGTTATTTTTGGCAATTTTGAGATGTCGTCCCTCCAAGAAAATTTTGGACTTGTGAGAGGCTAAAATGGCCCAAGGTCGACCTTAAGGTAACGTGTTAGCAACGCTGAATTGCCTTTCACTCTATCTCAATCCATTGAGAAGTTGCATCACTTTGAACTCAGTTTTGATGAAAAAAAATCTACGCAAAACAGTGATTTTTGGCAATTTTGAGA